ATTGCTAGGCAGTAATTGCACAGTGTCAGGGCCTCCTCTGATTCTCACACTGAGCTGCCAGAGAGTAGCTTGAAGGTGCACAAGAAATTAAAAGGGGACACAGATGGGACACCTGACCCCAACTGACCCAAGGATTATTCTATCCCACATGGAGTCATGCTCAGCAATAAAATGTGAGGGAAGAAGAAGGAAAGAGAGATGCTGAGAGCTAAGGCACTTGTCTTACCATGTCACTGTCATGGGTGATGGAGCCCTGGACACAGCTGAACATTTGACTGCCAGTACGATAGAATGAATTCTTTACTTTGCTTTGCTTGCACACATAGCTCTTGCTTTAGGTATTTAATTGTCTTTATTTCAACCATGACTCCTCTCACTCTGTTTCCCTCCCCCATCCCATTGCAGGTGAAAGAGTGAGTGGCCCTGTGGGGCCACTGAGTTGAGCTGGGAGTTGCCAGCTGAGGGTAAATCACAGCCCTGGTGAATAATCAACCAGGGTGTGCCCAAGGTCAAAGGGGCAGAGCTGTTGAGCAGATACTGTGGAGTGCTACCCTGCTTGCTTCAGGGTCACATCTCATCCCTTGGCAGAAGCAGACCTCTATTGCTCTTTCAAACTCCTTTCAACTTCCCTACTTATTGGTTACCTCACACTACTGCCTGTGGCAATTTCTCAAGAGCTGTGTGGCTCCCAGCAGTGGGCCAACTGAGTCACCTCTTTTCTGTTTCTGTTTCCTTCCACAGTTCTGTCTTTTGGAACACACTGTTCCATCTTCCCAGCCAACTTCAATTTATGGTCTCTTCATTATTGACACAGTTTGGTCTCATTCACAATTCCCAGCTAGGCTTCTGTAACTGGCAGCACAAGGGTCATCAGCCAAGCCACCGGACCATCACGCTCCTGACACTATCTTTGCACCAGACTTGGTTGTCTTGGCTTCTGCAGCCTGGGAGAAATGGTGCATGAGGATCTGGGTTCAGAGAGCAAAATCTCAGTTTTCAACTAAGACCTCCTGCAGTGTTTAGGTTGATCCTCACACATATAAACCAGTTCTGCTCACTTATAGCTCTAGAGACTGCACAGATCATGTAATAAGGATCAACTTCATCTTTTTCTGCAAATTACATATTAAGATATTTCTGTAATGTCAATAGGAAAAATATTTAAGGATTCTGAAAGGCCCAGAGTAAAACAGTGAGAAAACATGTAAAAATCCTTGTGGCATTCATGTGTTTAGATGTTTCCTTCTATTTAGATACAAAGGAAAGGATGTGATTATCCTGCTTTAGCTGGCACTGCTGTGTTCACCATTTGAATACTGTGTGCAATTCCTAGACTGGAGCACAAATGATTTTGAGAACCTGGTGAAAGTCTTGTTAAATTTCCATCAAACTACTGCGAGCTGCAGCAAATTAACTGCATAGAAAGGCTTGGTTTGCTCAGGATGGAAATAGAAAAAAAAAGGCATGGGACACTCTCACTGCAGGTACTAATGAAGATAGAGACTCTCTCAAAACAAGGGTATGTCTGACAGCATTGAAGTAAAAACCAACCAAGAAAAACCCAGCCCCCAAAAAACCACCATTGTGGGAAAACACTGCAAAAGATTTCAATGGGTGGTGAACCTCCATCCCCAAAAGTTTCAAAAGCCTTCTGGAGAAGGCCTTGAATAACCAAACCTAACTTGGGATGTTAGGTCATTCCCCTGCTTTGAGCAGGGGGTTGCATTATTTGAGCTCCAGGCATGCCTTACAACTTAAATTCATTATTCTTTGAAATCTGATGTCATCATAAGCTTTTCTCAGGAATTCTTGCTGTGTTAAGTGATGGCATTAAATAATCAACTTCAGGATTGTAACACTGTGTACTTGACTACTGATCAAGAAAACACTTACCTGTTTTAGGGTAACCAACTAGAATCACATCATCGCTCCTGGCTTCAAAGGATTTCAGAGCTTCCAAAGTCTGTGGGCTGCTCATTGTAGCTGGGTATAAAATACCTCTGTAGGAAAACAGCATGTCTTCTGGGGACATCTTGTCACCCTCTGAAAAACATTTGTCCACTATTTCAATGATTCTTTCACTGTTTCGGGTCATGTCCGTATCCCTGTGTAAACCTACTCAAAGAGATACATGCTCTCTTTCTACAATGCAGAAAAGCTTTATGCAACATATGAGTAAATTGGACAGGGTATTAACTCCGGGATGAAGGTGCAAGTGACTGATTAACTCTGTACTCTGATAAACTCTTTTGACATTACAGAAGTCCATGCAGACTGACAAGAGTGACTTTTGGTCTTTGCTGCAACTAACACTAGGCACAAGAACTATTGGGGAAACAATTAGTAGGAATAAAAATGTTAAATTAAATAAAAGAAACACCTGTAAAGGATATTTCCTGAAATTTTGATTTGGAAATGGACTAGGGAAAGGACCTGAGGTAGAAGATGGGTTAATGTATTTTTCTGGTTTGTTTATTCTCCTTAAAGGAAACACACAAAAAATACAATATAAGCATAATTTTCAGTGGAGTTTTCTCTTTTTAGGTATCATAGGCAACAAAAAGACAAGACCAAAAAGAAAGATACTTTCCTTTTTCTTTTCACAGTGGCTAAGTAGAAGTAATTACCTAGAAGTAGTAAATTTTGAGAGCCACTGTTATTGTGTCAGTCAGTTATGTCTCACCTCCAAAACAGATTCCCAAGTTTTTCTGAATTGATTCTCACACTCACTGGCCTCATCTCTGCTTACTTTTCACTCCCTCAAAATGTCACTCATCCATAAAGTTTCCTTGTCTACATTCATTTTTTGACATGGCAGCTTGCTATTTCCATCTTGCCTTCTTCCACCTCCTTACCCCCCTGAATGCAAGGGCCCACTGAGTATCTCTAATGGAGCAAAAGCACATGAGGTGTTACTGCTCTGAATAGCTCTGTCCTTCAGAGTGAGATTGTTAAGGGTACAAAGGGAAATGAATTCAGACCTTGGGATGACACAGGAGAGGATAACAATGCACAAACAGATCATGGTCTGCTTTTCTACCAGACCAGCAAGACCAAAATAACATCTGAGCCTTTTTGTTCTAGGACTGTCATCATGTTAGTCCTTGCCAAGTGATTCCTCTGGTGTTTTTAGGCCAGCTGCTGCCTGATAGATTTACCTCCATCAAGTACCTGCACCCTGGCTTCCCTTTTCTAAACATAGAGTTTTACATTCACCTTTACTAAATTTTGTCTTCCCTCATCTTCTCAAAGTGTAATGTTTCAAATTGCTTTGCCATTTTCCTTTCAGCCCTCTATTCTGATCCCCAGACTTTACAAGTCCGTCATTTATGATGCACTCTATGATATTAGTCTGCCCATCAGTGTTAAAAACAAGATTGATTGTGATCAGAACTCACCACTAAAGGAGATTGCTTTAATTGCCCTCCCAGTTCTGCTCTCAACCAGTATATGCAGTGTGACCATAAGCAAACAATTGCAACCAAGTTCATCATATCCATGGGAACAAGTGCATATTCCTGAAAGTCCTGCTGCTGCTGACAGTGTTTCTGAATTCCTTTTATTGCTGTTGTATGAATTTCTAAGAGCCTCAGTCATCTTCCGGTACTTTTATTTCCATGACCAATGTTTGTACATTGCCATCTCCACATCAATTCGTGTCTCTTAAGTCACATAATTTCAGGCCTTCCCCAATGCTGTAATCTCTTTTATTTTCTGTCAGTGGCTTATTCAAGAAGTAAGTTACCCTAAGGAGGATCACAAATTTCTCTACCATAATTTTTATTTACTCTTTCATTTTCTTCAAAATGTTCCATAGTCAACTGCTTTGTCATTTTTGCTACTACATCCCTAAGTATCAAGTTAAGGAAACTGTTTTATTCTGATTCTTCCTTCACAAGTTTTAAAACACTGCTGATTTGTATATTCTCCTCCAGGAATCTGGTACCTTTCCGCTTGCTTACAGATAAATTGCAGTTGTTCAAAGATGCCTTGCTGCAGGACTTTCTGCTGCTCTGATTTTGAATCCATTAATTTCTTTTTAAAATATTCTAACTATCACGTCTGGCACTCCTATTTCTTTCCAAAACTCTACATGTCCACTTATGTCCAAGCAGAATCAATCAGCTTTTGAAAAGTGAAACAAAAAGTCTTTGAATATTTCATTCTTTTTATTTCCAGAAAAAATTCTACAACTTGTAAAAGTTGTAAAGGTGGTATGATTTATTTCAGCACTGGACGTATGCTCCCCAAGAACATGTGCACCCCCGAAAATTCCTGAGTCTATTGCCTAACCTGTTGCATGTGCATATAAGACACATGCACAGGTATCAAACTGTCATATCAATTTTTATCAGCCTGCTCAGTTATTCAGTCACGCAAGCCCAATTCAATTTTTCCGTCTGATTTTTTTCCCTGGGGCCTCTTCTGATCTTTCTTCAGCTTGGATGCTTGCATTCCTTCCTAAGCAGCCTTGAATCTCCTTTGTTCTCTCTGCAGGCCTTTTTGTGGGCACCTAAGCTTACAGACTAAACAAGCAGACTTCAGCTAAATCCAAAATTGGTTTCTGTACCAAGTTAAATTTCAAATACCCTGTCTCACATTGCGACTGTATCTTTTATTTTTCCATCTTATCTGCTTAGGTCATTGATCTATAGATGGGGTGCGGGTTTTCTGGCTTTTAATTCAACTATATTTACAGAAACTTATTTTGCCTTTTTTATTCCAGAATACGTCCCTGGACAAGTCTGAAATACGGTGTCTAGAGAGGCAAATCCCAATGGCAGTACAAGAGAGCTGGGTAGAGCAATGTCTCACACCATCACCCTTGACAGCCCCACTACCTCAGTGGAGACATTTTCAAGAAAGACACAGACTAATGAGGACTACACCGCTGAGATGGCTCAGGGACAACCTCGTCACAGTTTCCAGCCCTTTAAAGGCAGCTACAAAGAGGATAAAGGCTCCTTATTCACCAAACACCACATGGAGAAGATAAGAGGTCAACTTGCAACAATGGATGTTTAATCTTGATACATGAAGTTCTTTACAGCAAGAACAACCAGTTGCTGGAACAAAGCCTACAGAAATGTGGTAGAATCCTCATCACTGGAGGTTTTCATGACATGATATCTAGATAGAATCTCTTCCAGGCTCCCCTTCCCATGAAAAGTTGTACCAGAAGACTTTTCAAGGTCTCTTCCAAACTGGGCTGCTCTATAATTCTGTAGAAAGCAGTGCCTCTGAGGGAATCTTGCCCATTGACACCAGCCCATCAGCCCATAATTTGAAATTCATCTTGATATTTTGCATTCAGAGAGATGAAGAGCCCTAAGAACTCCGATCCATATTCCCCTTCTTTCTGCTTTCTCTGCCTTTGATTTACTTTGTGCTGAATTCATGGAAGATCTCCTTTGACATTAGGCTTCTGTCATATCCCTATTTTTGCTAGTGATATTTTCTGTAATAATTTGAAAAAATTTTTTGAAGAAAAAAATAATCTGCATACTAAATAATTAGAAATTGTCTATAAAGATAGAATTTATCTAGAAAGAAAAGAAGCATTTCCTTCCAGGTTACAGCAGAAAAAGGGCTGTTGAGTTTCTCTACATATGTTTAGTTGGCATCTTCTTCAGCAAGTGAGTGTAGCCCGAGGTTGCAGCATAAAAAAAAGGCTCATCAGTGTTTCAATAAAGGCTGTGGCAATGACTCTTATGGTAATTCTAAGGTGCTTGGATCATTTGATCTAGGTTTCCAGTGTATAGCATTCAGATGATCTGAGTCCGCCTTGCAAAGCTCTTGTTGTAACCACATTTCATTTCTCTTCAGGCTTTGCAGTACAAGTCATACTTCAACTTTTTCCCAAGTTTCGTTCCTGCTATATGTTCTTCAAATGCTTTGTCCATTTTCTTGCTCTGATCTTCAGTGAAATGGTTCTTCCAGTCACTTACACCACCTTCAAAGAAGGGGAAAAAAATCTCTTGAAAACCAAGACATTTCATTTTATATTCTGTAGAGCTGTCATTTTTACTGCATTTTACACTAAATCACATTGATCAATTTTCCAGATGAAACATTTTTCTACATCAATAAAATTTTGTGAAATCAGAGAGCTTACATATATATGCGAATCATCTTTTGCTATAATGCCAAATAACACACTGCTCTTTATGTGATTGTGTTCAAAAAGGCAGCCTAAAATTCTGTTTCCCTCCATCCCTCTCCTCTAGACAGCCATGACTGGAAAAGTGGAAGATCATGAACAATTAAGAATCATCTTCCAGGAGGCAGAGCTGACTTTCTGCTTCTTTGGCAGCTTTACTTTTATCCAGTCATTTCTTTAATGTAAAATGCAGAAATAGATTCTGACAACCAGGTTGCCCTTCTCATGTCCCCCACACTACACTGCAAAGGTGACTCCTCTCTGTTCCCTCTCTTGTGTGTCCACCTGGATTCTTCCTTGCTTGGCTTAGTTCTAGTATGTAAGAGTGACCAGGAATTTGGCAGTGCCCATCTCAGAAGATTCCCATGCTGTCCTACAAAGTGTGGTCACTCCACTCAGGCTGAGTTTGGCCCAGTGCTGCCAGCTCCAAAGGCTGGGCACTTGGTGATCCAGGCACAGAGGTGGAGAGGAATTCAGACACATGACAGGTCCTCCTTCCTGCCAGCCATCTGTGAGCAGCCAGGAGTGGCTCTGCTGTGAGAGCCTTGCTCTGCATCTTCCTCACCAGTTCTCCTTGGATAGTCTTCTCAAGCAAAGCAGTGATCTCCTGCTTGACACTACCTTACAATTCTAATGTAAGTGCAGAAAAAAGAACCAGACAATGGCCCAAATCCTTGAGAGTGGCACATTTCTATCTATGACCCACTTGGAGCTTCCTACCTTTGCGAAAGAGAACATTGCCAAATGACCCATGGGTCTTGTCTGAGTTTTTCTTCATAGACTGGAAGCTGCTCCTCTCTACCACCAGCTGGAGCTGTTCCTCAGTCAGAGGAATTCCAAAGAATGTGGCTATGTTTTTCACACTCAGGGCAGGATTCTGGAAAGAGGAAGGTATCATATGGCATGACTTTCAAACAAATGACTCTGCTTTCCAAGGTGTTTGCACTTCCCTGTATCTTTCTGCTGGCTGCATACATATCATGTTCACAGAGTTCTCTAGGACTAGGGTGGATCATAGTGTTTCTCATCTCCATAGTTACTTTGGAGGAGATTACAAGCTGCCTTCCTGTAGATTACAAAATATTATATACGATTTACAGGTAGCAAAATCCACATTACTAAACACAGAAACACTCCTCCCTGAAAAATATTACTGGAGATTTGGATTTACAATTATTTGGTCTTATATCACAACAAATTAAATACAAGAATCATTTTCACAAGCAAAATTTTACAAAGGTTTTTAAGTTTGAATTTCACCTTTTCTTCCCTTAAAACAAAAATCTGTCTCACCCAACTTGAATACCCTGCATGTATACAAGGATGAACAGGTTCAGGAAAAATATTTCCCTTGGTGTACAAAGTATTTGTAACTATTGATAACCTTACCTCTTTTACCTCTTCATAAGTTATTGTCATAATATTTTCTTTGTCAGCATATTTGTTCCATTCAGAAAGATATTCAAGGTAGCATCCCCAGGCCGCTAAAAAACAGAAAAACAACTAAGATTAGGCATAAATTAAGATTATACAGGTTTTACTCATTAACTTGTGTCAGCCAAGGTCTATATTAATCATGTCTATGGCAGAGTTTACACCCTTCTGTGGGAATTATAGTTTTGCTCCAGGTTCAGGCGTATGATACCTTTTGTAAGTCAGAAAAATAAAACTTGGTAGCATTTCAAGAATACTCTGAGTTCACCAAAAAAGCCATCATCTTGCCAACCATCTTGTAAGACTGCCTTAATCCGGTCTAAAACTTTGTTGAAACCCCCATTCTGCTGCCCACGTGCTATACCAAACTCATAAACTTAAACCAGTGCTATCACTTTCTCTTTTTTTTAATGCATTGGAATTAGTTCCCTTTTTAATGCACTAGACATAGTCCAAATAATTCCTTTCCTCCAATTTGGCTTGGAGGTGACTATTTAGCTCCAAGGACTCAACACGATGGACACAGGCGAGCAGGGATAAAGGGGACCCAAGAGAGAGATAAGGAAGAACTGCCTCTTCCAGGAAAAATACCAGTTTGTACAAATTAAGGAAGTCTGTGGAAGTGCAGTGTGACCAATATTTAGCCTCAAGCAGTAAGACAAGCATGTAGACTTCAGATTTCTAATTCTCAGTCTTTAATCTCTGGTTTTGTACTGTAAACGAAAAATTCCTATAGAAGCTGATTTACCAAAGAACAAAGGTTTTTAGACAAAGACAAATCATTGGATAATTGAAACTGGCAAAAAAATATACTGTACTTTTCTTTGCCATGAAATCTGTGAAGAAATCATCCCAGGTCTCATAGGAGGGAACAGTAGCCACGCCATTGGAAAAATGGTAATAAGATGTAGCAACATCTTTTGGATTACGAATCAGTAACAATATCTAGAAAAAAATTAAATTATTATTTATACGTAAAGACATAGCAGACTACAGCATTAAAAAAATCATATACTTTAAAACTGTGGCTGGAGATTTCTAATACCTTGTCTTCTCCTTGCAGAAGTAGCAATTTCATTCCCAATTCATAAAGTGCAAATTCTGCAATTCTAGGCAACCATCTCTTGGTACCATGAGATGGTTGCCTAGAATTATTATCTTTTACAGATTACCCAAATTACTTATGCAGAATCTAAGTATGTTTTAATCAATACAGGCATAGGTCATCATTTAAGCAGCAGGGAAAATTCACAAAAATATAAATGCTTCTTGAAATTTGATGCACTGAAGCCCTCATTTGCAACAATGCCATAAAATTCCTCCCATAGGAAATCACATCAAAATCCATTTTACCTCTGGAGGATTTGTTCAAGCCCTGCAACTTTCTTGTGGAAACTGTCACATAGATGTCAATAAGGGCAAACTGTGGTTAAGTGAGGTACTTAAACAGGTTAGCAGTACTTAAACAGTCATGTAGAAATGGCTAGGCTAAACACCCTAAACACCTAAGTAGAAGAGTGATTCTGAAAATTGGCCAGAAAGTACTACATTGGCTCTTTAAAAAATCTGTTGAATTGTTTGATTAATACATTAAAATTAGCACTCACCTTGGCATTGTTTTGGAAGAGAGATTTGGGAAGTTTTTCAGGACAGAGATTAGTAACCATAAATCTTGGAGAAGGTAATTTGCTCATTCGCTTGAATTGGAAGGAAGAAAATGGACAGTTCAGTTAGTACAAGTATTCTTTCCATTAACCTATGCTAAAATGGCGCCTTGATGAACTCATCAACAGTTATTGGCCGATACAAGTGGTTTAGGGCTTTTTTGTGAGTGTTGTCCTGGGATATTATTGGGCTGCTCTGAGTAGGTCTAATCTTCTAAAGCCATGACCAATTGAATGAAGACTATCCATTGACACGGGCAGTCGCTCGGTGACCTCCGTCGAGCCCTCACCTCCTGGCCTGTGGCAAGGGTGGCTGCCCCCACTCCGCCCTTCAGGCCGGTCTGGGGGGCAGTACAGCAGGGCTGCCCAACTCCCAGAGGCAGCAAAGCTGCTCTGTGCAGCTGCTGATGGGAATCCCGAGTCAAGGAAGCCAGAACAACAGAGATGAGAGGGGCCACTTGTGTAAGATCTCAAGAGGGCTTAATCTCCTAGAGAGTCCAAAGACAAGCCACAAAGCTCGAACAGGCTAACCGCAATTTAAGAACAGAGGAGGGTATTCGGGGAGAATAACCAATAGCAGAACAGGAGGAATGTAGGGTGAGGATCAGATTCTAGGTAACCAATAGGGGATAACATGGGAGGGGATCAGGCTTGGCACACCAATGGAACTTCGAGGGAAGGGTAAGAGACAAGGAAGGTTCTAGAGAAAGGGGTGGGATTATATTTGATGAACAAGGCAAGAGGGCAGTACTTCCAGGATTGGCAGGGAAGGGTCTGGAAATTAGGGAGATGCAAGGGAGTTAGAAATGTAGACTGACATAAGATTAGGCGGGAAAATAGTAGTAAACGACTTCAGGGCAAAATTATTGGGGAAACTGAATGGAGTACATGGAACAAAGTACTATAAACTCACAGTAAGGAACACCTTAAGATTACAACAGAAAAACAATCTATCACAATGTATTGTTAGGCCAGTGATAATTCTCTTCAGTTCTGTTAGACAATGGATAAAGGTAAGGTACAGATTAGCTATCTGTGAAAGCATTAAAGAGTGGAATAGTTCATATTTCCTATATTCAGTATTTGAAGCACATAATGTTGATCATTTCCATACATATTCTGTTCCCACCTCATATTTCTCAGAATCTCCAATTTCAAGGTAGGGGAATTCTTCTTGTTCTTCAGCATTCACACTGCTTTCACTACCTGGTGTTTTCTTTTGAGATATGGCTATCAGATCATTTAAGATTTGACTTAGCCAGTTTGTGCCTGAAAGTAGAAAAGCATAGAAGTGGTTGTAAAACTTTTAGAATGGACAGAAATGGATTTACCAGGAAACTCAAGAGGTGCTAGTACTACCAGGTGAGTAATCTGGTCTCCTTTCATGTCATACAATCACAGCTGACTGTCTGGTCAATCACCACCCAGGATCCTACATTTGCTGCTCATAAGGAGATATTTCTCCAACTTGAACAGTTCAGTACACCATCAATTAACTTGTATACTGTAAACTGACTAATCAGGGAGAAGAACCACAGAGATTCAACTAGGAAAACCTGCCTTAATGTAATAAATTTTAATGTGACACATATAAGGGAGACTGGGGTGATGAACCTGTACTTTAAACCTAATACATGAAGTGTTTTCTGGTGAGCTAGAATATCTTTGGAGGAAAGATGGGTCACAGTACTTCAAGAGAGGAGCAGAACTAGGTCTCAAAATAGTGCACAAAATAAAAAAGGAAAAACTTCATAAACCTGTCAGCTGTGATTATCCACTGTAAAGCAGTGTGAACTAATTGCTGTAAGAGAGAAACAGCAAGAATTGACTGTATATGAGACACATCTGATCCAAACCTTTGGCTTGCATGTGGACCAGTGCTTTAAGGAAAAAGGAGTCATATGTAGGTAAACTTCACCTCTAGCAAAGATGTCCTCTTGATTTCCCAATAATTAAACAACAATGCAATCACTTCAAGGACTGCAAAAATATTTTTGATAGCTATTTCCTGACATTTATGGGAAATAAACTAAGGAATTTTCACCTTTTGAAGGTACCAAAAGCTCCATTGTAAAAATATAAAGCTCTTAATTTTACAAAAATACATGTGGGAGTAGAAGGTGGAATATCAGGTGACCTAGTTACCTCTGGTGTAAAAAACTGTATTTCAATTCTCTCCAATTTGTGCATTTAAATTCATGACTATGAAAAGTAAAGATAATGAAAACCTTTAGATGCTATAGAAAAGGAAATCATAATGTTTTCACAGTCTTTTAAAAAAAATTCCCATATCAACTATTCATAATTCATTTCTTGTGCTTTTTGAAAATGAAATCAGTTTTACAAAAATTGGTTAACATTCTAAATATAATTATTTAGCATCATATCATATTATGTATCATATCATATGTATTTCAGATATTTAGCACAAATCTCGTTACTTACGATTACAGAAACTTGTTCATGAAAAAGATAAAATATATTCACCAGATTTAGGATATCCTGCCAAAATTACATCATCTCTTCTGGCTTCAAAGGACTCCAAGGCTTTGAACACTTCAGGACTGTAAAGAATTCTGGGGTAGAGAATTCCCTTGTAAGAAAAGAGCAATTGATCACGATGCAATGAGTTGGAAGCTGCTAATGCATTATCTACCAAACCAATAAATGTTTTCCTGGTCTCCATTCTTGTTCTCTTTCTCACGCAGCCTCTGTCACAGTGTGAAATGCTGTGTAGAAGGAGAAAACCCACAGATTCTCCTTTAATAGGTGCTTGGTTTGCTGTTTGGGTTTTTTTTTCCTTGAGTCTATGAACAATAGTTTACCTTTCTCTGAACCCGTGAAGAGATATACAGCCCCAGTCAAAGACCTTACGTAATATGAACCTTGAAATCAATAGAAGTTGAACGTAAATGAACAAGATAAGCGGACAAATGCAATTGCATTCCAGGAAAAGTATCATGCCAAAAGGTCGGATTACAACACAGAGTTTATAAACAGAATAGAACAATATAGAACGACATGATTTGCAGATTGGAATTTAAATGCCATGATCAATATCCTCAAGACAGTTCATCACTTTCCAGTACTTGCTGCTGGTATTTTCTATTTTTTCTTTACTATATCACTCATCATTATCACCAGAGTTAGATAAAATGTGTTGGGACTGGGAGTAATGTTCAGTGCGCTAGAGACTGAGCTGAACGCCCTGTGAGTGTGACCGGCTGCTCCCGGCCGCTGGAGCCCAGGAGGGCACAGGGGCACAGGCACTCTTGGGCCACTCATCAGACTGCACTACAGAGGTCTGTTTTTCTGGCATCTACACAAAAATTACTCCTTTCTACATTTCTTTAATGAGCTCAATCATTGTTTGACAGCTGATCAGTGCTTAGGGAGGTGGTGAAAATATAACCTGAGCTACAGTGAGTAGTGTTTATCATGCACTTCACATGATGAGCAGCTGACTGCAGTGACCCCAGTAAAGGAACTGACATTAGACTCAGGTTCAATATTTAAGTCTCTGGCAAAAGGATAGATATGTCACAAAAAATGAGAAAATAGTTCTCCCCCAAAATTTATGCCAAGAATTTACATGCCATCCTTTCTTATCTCCATCTCTTGACTGCTGCCTGTTGGGCACTGGAAGGAATCACACCAGTAATGACATACAGCATGCATTTGCCATTTGCTACCCCTGAGGGATTCAAGAGAGATCCAGGGCTCTCCCTGGTCCCTGAGCCATAATGCTGTGCCCATGGGATGATCTAGCCCTACATTTTTACATCTACTTTTTCCAGTCTATACAAAATCCTTTGCTTTTCTCTTCACCCCCCTGCTTTCTGTAAAACACTGTCAGCATAGAAAGACTACCTATGTACAGGCATAATCTGAAACCAGTGGATATCACA